AACCTCTCAACCTGGATCTTACAATAACTGGGTTTTGGTTCAAAAGGCTGAAGTTCTTTCTGCATGCGACCAGATCCAGGAATTAGATGGCGCAGTGTCCCGCGCCACATCGATGCGTCACCTGACCGAACCTAGATCTGACCGAACCGAGATGTGGCCCCATGAGTGGTGGCCCCCATCTGGGGCCGCCCACGAGCACGATGATGAACTCGCCGTCCTGCCAGGTCGGCCGCGGTTTGGTGTTGGAGGGAAAAGGGTGTAGAAACCAGGATGAAACCAGGATGAAACCCACTTCTTGAACATGTTTTTTGTGTCCCAGCAAGCTCTAAAGCTCCAGATCTGAACAACAAAGGCAGGAGAACTGCTCTCCTCGGGATCACTGCAAGAAGGAAGGTATGTAAAAAGCTGGGCCTAAACTCCTGAACATACACTCCCTGGGAATATTCATGGAAGTGGAGGAAAATGCTCATCCAAGGAGCCATGCCATCCACTTCCATGATTTTGCAGGGAGTGCATAGTGCTGTGAGTATGCCATTGTGTTCCACACTCTCACAGAGTGAGTCTTTTTTTCAGCACACCATACTTCATCAAGTTGAGGAGGTTCAACCGACCAGGTCGGCTCATCATGGCTCGTGGATTCCTAAGCTCTCAGTGCCCAACCGCTGTGCAGCTCCGAACATCGACGTGCGCGACACCATCGCTTTGGATCCAACGCCACGCTCCGGATCCAACGGCCACGCTGGAGTCCGAGCACATGGGGGAGTCTCTCCAAGGGCCAACAGGACGAAAACCATGCTCTTCTAGGGCGGAGGGGTGTCACGTTTCATCACGGTTCTCAGCTCATCAACCCGGGTAGGGTATGGTAGGGTAGGGGCGTATTCACATATGCTGTCAAGCATCAAATTGGAGAGAGCAGAGAGGGATTGCAAAAACAAACAATTCGACTCCCACCTGGGTTCCAGGCACGACCCGAGCTCCACACCCACGACAACGACTGTCGTATGAATATCAAAAAGAACAAAAAGCAACTTAAGGTTTCCTAGTTCCCTATACTATAGTTCCCAATTTTTGCCTCACAAATTCAATACCCACCCTCCGACCATCCCTTTCCCAACTGGGTGGCCCGGACACGTGGGGCGGGAGCCGACTCCTGCCAGAGACTTCCGCCGCCGTGACGCAAATGAAGCAAAGGACGCTCCGAAGAGCATCGAAACAAAGAAGGGACATATAAGAAACACATTGTTCCGTTGATTTCGGGTCGTTTCTGTGCTTGTTCAACTGTGCATCGTTTTTTGGGGGAACAAAGATGAATGAAGTAATTCAACTCTCATCGCTTGGTGAACATTACTTCTTTCCAGTCCAAGGATTCCAGAAGAATTGGACAGAACATGACAGAACCAAAAAACAGCTGGAAGAAGAGTCCCTAAAGAATCAACGAAACAGAATGACACACATGCCCTCCTAAGGAACTAAGGGAACCTGCCTTTAAAAGCCCACTTCGACAGCCAAGGGTGTAGGCCTTTCCAACATGTCCAACCCCTCTTGGAGTCGAACTCGATGAGAAAAAGCGGCTGAACTAGCGGAGTCGATAAGTGTCAACTGTGTCAAGATATTCATCTTGATTCTGTCATGTCAATATATGTCAATCAACTCACCTATTTTTGACATTGATCAACCAAAACTCATCCCTAAAGAATCAGGGTCTACCTTGCTTGAAAGAACAACCCCCAGGTCGGGGTTGTGCCACCTGCTTTCTTTTCTACTGGCTTTGTTCTTTAACACCACCAGGATTTCTAGAGGAATTTTGCACAGGGACGGGAGAAATAAGTCCAACACGTGCATTTGTCGGCCAAAGGAATTATTTTGTCGGCCACACTTGCATCACGCATCCGTCTGACAAGGGGTTCACCTCTGGGCCTCTGGCTGGTCAGAACATGCTTGCTCAAGAAGCATGGGAAGATTTTGCGAGTTCCCGGGGTTTCGAATAATTTCGAGCATCGACGCTGTCCCCCTTTACTCCTCCCGGTCCCCTGGAGTGTTCTTTTCTAAAAAATACTCTACAAGATAGCACCCACCTCCTTGGACCATATAAAACCTGTTACACAAAACACTGTCTTCCACATGCGCACCCTGTTCATTCGTTTCGGTGCGCCAACTGTTGCCGCTCGTCTCCTCTACCACTGGAGTCTCAGGTGCCGTTGGCACCACATCCTGGAGTCGGCGACGCGGAGGAACGGATTCCATGTCGTCGCTGGGGTGTTTGGAAGGACCTGGAAGGGTCGGTTTTTCATGGTTCAGCTGAACTACAAGGAACGGAACCGAACCGCCATGAATTTGGGGTGTGAGTGTGTGTGTGTGTGTGTGTTTGTGTGCGTATGGAATTCAATACATTAAAACAACTCAGGTCAGGTCTACAGTCGCCTACCAAAAGACAGACACACACACACACAATGCTTCCACGGGTTCATTTTCCCGTCCAAAGCTCTGCGAGACCCTGCGACCAAAAACCCACCGCGGTCTCTCTCATGCGCCTTGCTCTCCACCGCCTCAAGCTTGTCCGCATCATCCTTGGAACAGCAGGTTCCCATCGCCTGGAAGAAGAGAGTCCAAGGGGGGCGGTTCCGCGCAGGCTCATTCCAAGACCCAAACACGACACATGGGACTGCCATGTATGCCGCCCCATTGACCCCTTTTCAACCACGCCAATGGCCCCAATGTAGGTAAATATGCCAGTTCCATGGAGTGTTTGGGATAGAGTCTTGATCTGACATCTGGTGCACTGAATCCGGAAGCAAACGAAACACAAGCGGCATGGCTTTTAAAAGCGTGGTTGGGCAACTCGTGCTATCACTCTATACTTCGAAAACAACAACACTTACCGCTGGCAATGCTTATCCAAAGAGAACTCACCGTACTTAACCAAGTGCACGGGAGAAGGAAGACGAAGGTTTTCATGATGGGTGCGTGTGCCTCTGGAGAAGGGGCCTGGATGCATCCCGACCGTGTCAAAGAAGCGAGGGCAGCATGGAGGGGAGGACAGAATCTCCACTTGTAGCGCCTCGCCTGGCAGTTCTCATAGCCAGTTTCCTCCCATGGGAGGTCTGAGGGTGTCCCCTTCTTCAACTCAATGATCACCCTTGTCATTCACCAGGTCTCGACGCATCCGAGTTCCGACGATCCAATCTGGGACTCATCGCAGTCCGAGACCATCTTTGGCGCAGGTCACTTGCCATCTTTGGCGCCGACAAGCACAAATGCCATTCGTAACAATCGCTGCTTGCATCGCTTCAAGATGAGGAGAGCCTCGTCACCCGCAGTCCCTGTAGATGGCGCAAGTTACCCAAAGATACCCCAAGTTAGGTGGTTTATATGGACCCCCATCTAAAAGAAATCTTGGGGTGCCAGTGCCATCTACTCTGAAACCACCCTCTTCTTCGGTGTCATCATCTAACTCCTTTCATCGCTGTTCCCATAGCATGTGAGTGGATGTTTGGATGTTAATTTATCACATTATGTCTCATGTCGTTGTATATCATGAAGTCTGGCATATGATATTAAGAAACCATATTATAGACTGAATAACTCCAAAGTTTGCTGAACCAAGCTTAAGGCATTATAAAGTGGCCTGCTTTGATCCTCGTCAATCAAGCAGGGAATTTTCCAAAAACATCTAAAAGGCTGTGCGGGACATCATGATCAATGATATCTCTGGCACTATAGAATACCGTGCCGCAGTGTCTGAATAGTCACAAAAAACAACATTCCTATAATTTCCTATACAAAGAAGGGTCACAACCTCGTAGTTTGATAGTTGTTGCTTATTGAATTGAATAGAGCTTCATGAACGGGGTATTCAAATTTGGATCCCACCCTATACCCACCACCTCTCTTCTGCCGTGTGTCAAAACAGAATCACACAGCACACATGCACCGGGTGTCTTTGCCCGACGGAACGAGAAAAAACACCCGTCGCCCGCCTTGACGATCCAAAAGCTACGTGACCGGCGCGGGACACCGGGTGGATGCGGGGCGAACGTGACCGCGGCGTGACGAATCCCCTTTCGAGCCGAGTTCCATGCAGGGAGCGAGCGCCTCAATATATATCGTGGTTTCGCCGGCACGTGTACCATCGCAGAGTTTCGGCGTTTTCGAGTCCGAGTGAGGCTGAGGGGCGTTTCGGGGCCGGGAGTAGAATTCATTGAAGCAAAAGACCCCCTGCTCTCAGCAAGAACATAATCCAGTAAAAACTCCATATGCATGCACAATATCTCCCGAAAACGCGGGCTGACTCAACAATCTCGACAGATTCCGACTCATCAGGAGTTTGCCGATCGTCGACCAGTTCAGGTTGGACTCTAGTTCAGGCGTTCGCCGTTCGCTGGTTTTTGTTTCCGGGAAGCTGTGGGATCGCTATGGGATCGCTTGTTCTCACTCGGATCGCTACCTTTTTGGGGCCCAAACATGGTCAACTCAAGCTCCTAAGGTGTGGGATGAGGCGAGTACTGAGTGGTCTGAGTGGTCAATATATGATCGTTCTTGAATCATCGAATCGGTGTTCCTTCTGTGGATGAATGATGGATCACAGAAATGCCCAGCGTTGTCCTACTGCATGACACAGTCTTCTTGCACCAAATCTTGCATCGCCGAGGAAACTGCCTGGACAACGAATCACTTCAGTGCAAATGGTGCAGGCACTCTTCCATCAACAAGCGGTGGAGCAACCAAGAACCGAAACCACCAACAACCAAGAAAACGGTTGGTTTAATGTTATAATATATGTGTACATGTATTGGGCCACATTGTTGAAGTCGTTCAGAAACCCATTGTTTGGAGGATCTATTCCTCCATAACAATGTGCAATTGAAAAATGTTATAACAAGGTGAAACCGGTGCTGACCACCCTTGAAGTGCTTGCGAAGGTGATTTTTCCCACCCAAAGTCACGTCGCCGGTTGACCACCTAGGTACCTCGCCAGGTGATTCCGTGCGCGTCGTTCACGCCTCGGTGAGCTGCTGTCCCCAGCGTTCCTCCATCGTTGTGGCTGCCAGTTTTTTCGCCTGATGTCAAACGCATCCGACCAAAGAGCTCCGGTCTAGCGCTGGAAACGCATCCGATCAAAAGCAAACCTGGGGCTCTATCCGATCGTGTCCCAAACAGCCAGTTCGGACACTGCAGGTTCGGGTGCGCTCGCAATGTCCAAGTGTGGATTCTTGGGAGCATCCAAGAATCCAAGCTTCTATCAAACCCAGTTCGGTGGGTGGATATCTGGGGGCATCGCGTTTTTATCTCCCTACTACGGGTGAATGATTGGTTAGTATACTATGCATCTGTAGGAATGGGACAACTTTTGAAGATGGGAGGTAGCCTATGTTGATTATGCATCCAGGGATATTATATTGTATGTGGATGATTATTATTGGCTGTGCATGTTTTGGATAAATATGTATATATATATATACAGTAACATGAACGTAGTAATTCTTTATATGCGAACCTTTCCTTGATCTAAAAAAGGCTTCAGTCAAGCACATTGTACAAACAGCAATGCTAGTGATGCAACAAGTCTGTGTTGTAGTCTACCCTGAAAATGCTTCACACTCCTCCTTGGTAGTGTGAGCGCTCGAATTGCTACGTTGAGCTCACTCTACCAACATAGCTCACTTTATTTGCATCATCCTCATGTATATGGCACTGTCCACTCTCAAGGAGGGGGTTCCTGGAGCTTTCTGATGGTACTCTATCTGAGTGATCTCCTCTCTTCTGCAATTGCAAGTAACAGTTCATATCTTTCTCTCTCTCTCTCTCTCTACTGTATCTGATAGATCTCCCCGTCCCCTTCCTACCAACAGTTCAAGTCTTCTGTCCAGCTGACCAATGAAGAAGTCGAGTCTACCCCACCTTTGTATTGACTGTTCTCTCACATGTTCTGCCCTCATAGATAGATCTCTTTTTCCTGGTCTGAAGGCTTTTGTCAGTGGCGCTTCTGAAGGTATTGCTCCCTGATTGGCTGCTTCTAACATCACTCTATGACTCTCATAGTGTCCCTCTGTTGGTCTTAAGTCTTCCAAGCTCCTTCTGGCTAAGTTTCCTGCGTTGATTCCTCCCATCATGTCATAGCTGATTAGAGTTTGAGTGTTTGGTGTTTCTTTCTCTACAAAGCCTCCATTGAGAATCAACCCACAATGAGTTCTCCTCGCATAATCTCTGAGTAGATCTATTTGATGTCCATCATCTTCACACTCTCTGATCATACTCTCAAGCTCCACCGTTCTGGATTCTGCTTCATCTGTCCTGAAACTAATGTCTGTCATCGCACATGCATAGAGGCCCTCAAAATGGCAATAGAGCTCCATACTGCAAACGCTATTGCTGCAAAACCAATGATGTTGATCACGGTGATCACTGTGATCCAAACTCTCAGTCCTCAATGAATTCTTCCCCCTCTTCTAATCCGCGCTGGATTTCCCGTTCTCGCTGATGAATGCTTCTGCAGCCAGTGGCTGCAAGCCTTGCAATGCTACCATTCTCACAAGCATCTTGGCAATCTTGCTTACCTTTCCGGCAAAGATCCTTTTTTCTTCAAACACCTCTCTCACGCTCTCCTACTCTGGTCTGTTCTTCACCGCGCCAATACCCAATGAGGTTCATCAAGTATCTGGTTCTTTGTCCTCCAAGTGGTTTGGTATTGATGCCTGCCATGTTGCTATCTGTTGGTACTTGTACCATCTTGAAGTCCTTCCTGTTCTGAATCCATAACAACATTCCATCCACATGTCTTACTTTTCCCACTCCTCCCTTCATCACAAGTTGGCGCGCACTCGAAGAATCTGTGAAGATGTAATGGTCCACCTTTGCCCCAAGAGAAAAATTCAAGAACTGAACGAATGTAAATTCCATCTGACGCTGAAGAAACTATTGCGCGCAACTCTGCTTCACATGAAGATAAGCTAATGATCTTCTGTGTCCTGCTGCTGCTGAACAATGGGCAACTGTTCAACGCATGGAATCCTCCTGAAGGTGATTTTCTGTGGCTTGTGTTTCCACTCCAATCTGAATCTGGGAATGTTTCCAAGCACCAATAGCTTTCTCCTTTCTTCACATAGCCTTCTCCTGCTTGTGGATGCTCACCTACTAGACAATATTCTATAGTCTTCTTAAGTATCCTAGAAATTTTTTCAAGTGATGAAATGACATAGCCGTTGGAATGACATTCTTGAAGCATCTTGAAGCCAGTTCCTCCACTGAACGCTACACCATATCTCTCTTGACCAATGTTTCTGAAAAGGCTGATCTTCTCTTGCTCACGCAAGGCTTCTTCTGAATTGAGTTGTCTGATGCTAACTGCTGGAGATTTGATCTCCCCAATCTGCTCTTCATAGGTTTTCAGAATCTGCTGGATGTAGTTACCTGGTTGGATCCATGCCCCATCCTTCTCTAGTTTGCACTTTCTGCTCAGGAAGTTGAACTCGTCACCAACCTTCTCAATTTCGCTTACGCTGGTGTCTCGCCCTGTCTTGAACCTTTGGAAGAAAGATTTCATTGATGTACCTTGAGTCTCCTGTGAAAATCAAGTCATCCAGAGGGATCAAAATGATACTCTTTGCATTTCTTCCTCGGCATGGACACTCAGCACGGGACTTGTATTTGAGTTGCTCGGTGAGGTACTCTGCGAAAAAGTCGAACCATGCTTTTGCTCCAACTCTTTGCCCAGTTAAATTCCTCTTCACCACCAAGAATATGGCTTCTCTTGTGGAACCCAAAAAATGCGTCTTTCACATCAAGACATTCCAGCATGTGGGAAAGTGCGCTGGCGAGAATATGTCCTCTCTCTTTCCTTGAGCGAAAGAAAATTCTCTTGCAACTATTCCATCTTCATGGTTCTGTCTCCAACCATATACATTGCGCGTTGTCAGAAAACTGAATCCTTCTGCACTACCTTCTGCTCTCTCTAGCACTTGCATCTTCTGGAATCTTTACTCTTCCACTTCAGCAGCTACTCTGTCTGTCTACCCGTTCTTCTTCTGGATCATGTTCTCCATCGCGCCATAAGCATTCAGGTCCAGTCATGTCCTCTTCTTCTGGCTCATCTCCCTCTTCTTCCCAGTCCTCTCCATCAACTTCTTCTGCAACTGGGGATAGCTCATCATCTACATGATAAAGATCTTCACCTGCAACTTTCAACAAATTGATCTTGGCTTTCTTGCTTGAATCATCTGACGGCCTGAGCTTTCTTCATCGGACTTTCCTCTTCAAGCAACTCAAATGCTTCCCTTGGTCTCGATGCTGCTGATGGTGATCCTAATGAAGATAGTACAGGAGTAACTGGATTGGGTTGTCCTGCTGGCAATGATGCAGATGGGATCGCTTTCACCTTGTCCAGAGCGAGCATTTTGTTTCTTACTTGGAGTTTCTTCTCCACTTGGCTTCCTTTCACCTCCATCTCTCTTGGGGCTGGAATCTGCATTGGTTCTGGGATTAGTGTTTCTTCTTTCTCTGAATCACGTCCTCCTTCAAGAGCTTTTGCCATTACTACTTCGGCATCTTCATCCTCAAACTTCAACATTACTGCTCTCAAGGAATGTCTGTTTGCGCTGCTGGTAATGCCTCTGCTCTCCTCTCTGCGGCAATATTCTGCCTCCAAAGTTGGTCTGATATTCCCATGAATAGGCACTGAAGCTTTTGTAGATGGGTAAACATTTAAGACTAATCTTGATCTGTTCTTCTGATGCATGTGCTCAGCACTACCTGCACTCCATCCGCAAGCATCTTGCCTTTCGACCTTTCCCAAGAACAAGCACCACCTCGCTTCTCCTTGTTGAGACACTTGATATAACCATGAACTGGTTCACCATACTCAGCCAAAAGTCCTTTGTAGCTCTTGCCATAGACGAGCTCATAGGGAGTTGCACCCTTGACTGGCTGAAGTCTATTCAGCACCCAACTGGCATGTCTTGCTACCCAAGTCCAAAGCGCGTGATCTGAACCTATCTTGATACCAAGCCTTGATTGCGCACCTTCGATAAAAGTACCTGCTCAACTGTGTTCTCTGACAGAAATGATTGATCTCCAAGCTTTGAGGTAATCATTAATGAGTCCTAGACTGTGGCGAGCATTGATCAGCATCTTTAGGATTTGTCTTGTTGCGGGTTCATTGTCACTCCTGTAGGCGATTGCTGAATACCCCAACAATTGACTGAAATTTGTCAACTCTTCTTACACAATTAGGCAAAATTGATTCTTGCTTTCAGGCTGTCAACTGCAACTAACCAACATACTGCTCAGGCTGACTTTGTTTCTGAGCTTGTGTAGCAAAGGTCAAAGCTTACCGAAGGTTCACCTCCTCTCTTTACTCCATCTGTTCTCTCATGGCGATCTGGACGCGCTGTAGTGGCTTCATCTGGCATCTTTGCCACACTTTGACCTAATGCCTCGTCTCTTTTGAGCTTTTGCTTCACTCGCCAAGCTTTTGGCATTCAACAATTCCATCTTCTTGTTGTGGCTGAGGATCTTTGTGTGGACCTTTAGCTTAGAGCCACTGCCTGGAATGCCGAGAAATGAACATGCTGCCCTCAGAGTTGCCAAAGAATAATCCTTAGTCAACTCTACTCCATTCACCAAGACTTTGTCTACATCCATTGGGCCCAATTATACTTCACATTCAAGGTCTTCATCCTGCTGTTCTTCTTCTCTTTGACCTTTGCGCAAACTCGTCCAGGCATCCAAACCATTGGAGTCTTCCACAGCTTTCACCAATTGCAGCGCTCTTCCCCTCATCAAGCTAACAATCCATAGAGCTTGATGCACCTGGTCTTCTCCTGTCTAGTTGCCAGGTCCATGTTGAACTTCTCATTTGGCGTTTTCATGCATTTCGTTCAAGCCTTTCATGTAGCCCAATCAACTGCACTGAAATATTTCTCAAATACCCATGACCAGTCTCTGACTGCCTTTATCTCTTCTCCTTGTGACTTATAGTCAAAGATGTTGGGCTTTGCAATAAGTTTTGACCAATCAGTTGTTGATGACTTCTTGCCTTCAACTGCTTTCTTCACTGCCTCAGCTGCTGATGTTGTTGCCAGCGTATTCTGCGCTATAGTTTGAAGGATTTCTCTGATCTCCTCCTTCTCCACTGCGCACTATAATGTCTTTCTGACACAACGTACGGGGTACAGCGTGTTGCTCACAACAACTTCTCTCCAGTCCAGCTGTTTGGATTCCAAAGGCCCCAAATCTATGGCTCGAAATCGCACCCGGGATCCCAGTGACCTAGAGCTTTTTCTACCTTGAGCTCAAAGGAGGTTCCCCTTATCCTTGCTCCGCTACCATGCGAACTTTTGTCCTTAATCCAAAGAGGGCTTCAGTCAAGCGCGCTGTACAAACAGCAATGCTAGTGATGCAACATATCTGTGTTGTAGCCTACCCTGAAAATGCTTCACATTGTACCATAATGTAACCATATTATACCTAAGGGATCCTGAAGTCTAAACAGTTTGGCATCGTATATAAGTAGTCAGAACCGTCAACGTTTTACAGGGTCCACTCCACTACACAGTACAACCCTTCACTGGGAGGCCTACTAATGTGTTTTGTGGACCTGTGCACCCACACGCGAAAGACACCTAGCGTAGTCCAAACACATGTGCAAATCCCAATGTACACTCTTTGCCACGACGGGGGTTCCGGCATAGCCCTTGCAAAAGAAGTGTTTCCCAATGTAAGCTTATTGATTCTCACAACTGTTAAGACCTCCAAATACTCGAACCTACAGAGTTCCCCTGGGGGACATACATGACAAATCGCATTCTTGGAAATAGTAGTTCCACATGCTTCCCCAATGGAATCACATCGATGTTCTTGAACTCTTTCAACGTGGTTTTGATAGAAAGTTGTGTCGAGTTGTATATATGTGAACAAGGTAGGGGAACGAGGTGTGAACGAGGTAGTTAACGAAGCCTTTTGCAAGGGGTCACCGGCGCAGCTAACATGCCCAAATCGCTTCGCCAAGCTAAACGCAACAACCGCCACGACTTCAACAATTTCATTGCCCAAACTAAACGCAACAAAAAGCACAACAAACAAACGCAACGATTTTTACATTTTGGTGGACCAAAGCTGGCAGATATCGCTTAGATCGGAATTGCCAGAAAACGGCCTGTGCCCTTATGAGCTCCTCCTCCATGGCGTTGGATTGCTCCTGACCACGAAAACACACAGGGTGTCGTTCATGGCTGTTGGGCTGCTTTGTCTTCCATGCGACAGGATGGCACAAGTATGCACAAATCGGATGACTAACTGCAGCTCCTCAAAATGGGTTACTAATTCTATGTGATATTTATTCCCACCATAATTGAAGGTCAAGGAAACAAAAACACTGCCTGATTCACGCCACCCAGAAGAATTCGAGTTCAACACATTTCAACCACCATGTTCTTCAATAACCAACATCCTTCCCCCTTGAAAATTGGACCCTCCACTACTTTTGCGTCTGGAGACCCAACGAGTGTGATGCTTCCCGCCTCGGAGATCTCCCCGCTGATCACCTTGGCCGTGAGCTGATCGGCCTGGCAGCCGATGACCGATGCAAACGGTTCTTTTGGGGGGAGCAACAGCTAAGAACAACGCTTCTCACTTGACTATAACATGTATATATATAATCCTATATCTATCAAGTAGTAAAGAGTCCAAAAAGAATCTAAGCAAGGACTCTTGTCATACAGGCCTGTCATGGCCTGTCCATTCTTTTTTCTAGCTTGGAACCAGCCCTCTTGGAGCAACGTCTGCACCTCTTTGACCTCGCGACATGGTGCAACACGCATGGCTGAATCCCGGCCTAAGTCCTCAAAAACATTATGGCACACATTGTACAAATACTTCCCGGCGGAATCATTTACCGCCCCACGGTCTATTCTTTTCGGGTTTTTCGCTGCAGCGAAAGCCAATTTCTGAGCTAGAAATCTGAGGTCAACAATTTTTGCGCTTTGCGCGATTCCCTTCGAGCAACCCTTACGACCTTTTCTTGTCAAAAAGGTGCCCCCTTACCTTCGGTGCGTTCGTTTTCTGTGTTTGGAGCACATTTCGGAAACACATGTTTCTCTTGATGACAGGTATCTAAGGAATGATCAGGTATCTTGGGAGCCGCCACTGTAACAGTGGATGATGGCCGATCATGTACTATAAGCCTATAAGCGCAGCAATGACAATGTTCCTCTAATTCAAGCCTGCGCCCTTGACTTGTATCTCCTTCAGCAAAGAGACACGCCAAAAAATCCAAGGGTCTCAGACACTTTTTGCCAGTCCCCGTCGCGACAGATCTTCTGTCATAGCTGTGCGACTCTGCGAGAGCTTTTCCTGTCACCTGAAGCAAGCTGTGGCCTCCGTGTTCCCATCTCCAATGGGCCGAACGCACAAGGACTGAAGGTTTCTATTGGTCCGGCCTTGCGCTAGGGAAGAGATCGACGCAGGAATTCCCTGCTAGAAGCCATCGATCCCATCGGTGTGCACTTTGACCTTGCGGCGTTTCTTCACCGGGTCACAGCGAAGACACCTTTGGCATGGGTGCACTGGCGCAACAGCAGGTTGTACTTCTTGACACTTCTTGGCCAACGCCTTGTAGCACGGCGCACCATCTGTGAGGAGCAGCGTGCGGAGACCACAAGGATCTTTGGACTTGACCTGCTGGAAGGCATTTGCCTCTTCAATGCGTTGGCTCTCTGCCGGTGGTTTGCCAAAAGCCTTTGCGTAAGCCAAACTCATTACATGAACGATGAATGATGACTTGGACCAATCGACGACGAATTCGAACTGACGTTGGCTGAACCCGCAACATTCCACTGCCCCCCCACCCATATTTAATCACATGGTTGTTCGATGACAACTTCTACCCGATGAAACCCTCGACAAAACGATGACAATCTCGACATAACGATGACAACCTCGACCAAACGATGATGACTTTGACCAAAGGCGAAGCGAAGTCTCCATGTTTTCTGGGGCAAATACTTGTGTCTGCTGAGGGAACTGGGTAACACAACTCCCCATGTTGGGGGGATTCATCAGTACCACCACGCCTCATTATCTAAGTGGGTCAGCAAGGAGCTGGCATCCCGCGTCACCTGCAGGTCCCAGCGTCGAGGTGTTTGGCCGGTTTAGCTGGAGAATGAAACAACTGAAACGGCCCACCTTCCCTCCATAAAAGATCCTAAAACATTGAAGGCTAAACGGAGGGTGTGTGCACTACCCTTCCGTTTGCCTTTGAAACATCGAATCAATGTTGAAGCAACGCCAATGTTTTTCTAGACTGGCACCATGGCACACGTGGCCATCTACAGCTTCAGAGAGGGTGCGAGAGAGTCGAGAGAGCGGTCGAGCTGTCCTCATATATCTTGTCCATACTCCTTATGCACTGGGGCAAATCTACTCTGTATACGCGTCGAATGATTGCAACCCAAGCAGGCAGGGATTGCTGTTGGTGGTTGGCTTCTGATATGGACCTCCCTGGACCTGTTGGCCCCCACACACGAAGGACCAAGTGATCCGAGTTCCTCACACACACACACACACACGCAAGACTCTCCCCGGTCCAAAGGAATGTTAGTGAAGTAGGAGTGATAGCAAAGACCTTAGAAAAAAACTGAAGATCCTCCTGTCTTCAACAAACCAGGTATAGTTATAGAATATTATATAGTAATTTATAGGATTTCAATGGTAACCATATTCCCTCTGTTCTGGAACCAACATGCAACCAGGAACCGAAAGGATGCACGGCATTCGAAGAAGCCACCCAAAGGCTCCACCTTTAATCACGTCTTTCTAGGACTGCCGTGCATTTGATGTGGAAAATGGTTGTAGTGGTCAGTCTCTCCGAACAGCGACCTGCTGCCTACGATTTAGCAAGTGACACGAGGATCTGTGAGATGTGGCTTTGGACCCTCGCTATTGTTCAAATCATGCAAAACCCACAATACGCTATATATGTTTAAGGTACATTCAGATACCATAACTGAAGGAGCCGGAAAAAAAACACACACACAATTATTCCCAACATTTCCCTAGAAGGGGATGCACCCGCAAAGAACAACACCTTGAACAACATCAAGCAACAAGCAACAAACTCTGCCATCCCCCGAGCCGAGAAGCACCAGTCCTGTCGCCGAGCACCGCGGTCGGAACGTTTGCAGAAAAGCCCCGATAAAGGACCCATCTTCCCTGGACGTGCCTGCTGTGCATTAGCCAGCTGTTGCTCCATCTCTGCCCTCTGTGCGTGCAGATTCTCGAGTTCCAGCTCCACCGTTTCCCTGAACATGTGGCAAAAGTGCGCAAAACCAACAAACCGGGTGAAGTGGCCTCCCTCCAACAACTGTGGTCTTTAGAGAACTTTAGATTCTATGATTCCTTTTGGGTCTTCTGTAGTGACTTTGAGGATTCCCGGACATTTTCTAGCCCTGCAGGTGACACTGCTTCTTCCATGCAGTCGCACACACAAGAAAACACTGACGAACAAAACATCCACGGACTAACCATCCTTCTCCTCCACCTGACGAGAAGAAATGGGCACCCTCCCCAAACCGGCGTCGCACATAAACATCGGGGCACCTTCGTTGGGTTTCGGCTGTCAGGGCTTCGTCCTTCTCATCCAGCTCTTCGTAGACCTTGTCCAACTCCTGGCTTCGCCAGAGCCGAACGGATCCAGCGGCGGCGCAAGCGGTTCGGACGTGGTCCGAGACGGCAGGACGCCGTAGAGAGATGTATAACACATATGTTTAGCGGACATCGCTGGAAAACAATCCAAGAAAACATCCAAAATGGATATGTATACAAATGGAAAACAATTGAAAAACACATCCACAATTCGATGGCGGTCGGGTGATGATTCGATCTGAAAGAGATGGAGGGTCCAAGGATACAGAACTTGATGCAAACCATCCTTGCAGGCCGCCCAGTGCATGGCTCATTTGACCATGGTCATCCATGGCCCAAACTGAATCAACTTGACAGTCAAAGATCTCCAAAAATACCACGTGCGTCATGTTCTTATTCGATTCGATTCCAGACTCAGCTTCAATGAAAGCACCGAAATCGTTTGCAAGTTCGCTACGTGGTTTCCAGATGTTCCAGGCGTCTTGGGCCATCTCTTAATCCAATAAGAACCACAGGGCTAGTCGCAGTGCTTTCTGAAAGACCCGTGCCGTGGGAAACACATGGAAACACCCGTCGTTCGCAGGGCATCGGCTTCTATCGGTCCTCCTCCAGCTCGCCAATGTACCTGAGCAAGTTGACATCGATTTTGCACTTCAGTCAGTCAGGTCAGGTCCAAAAGAATGGTTTTGCATAGCAAGTGGTTGGGACTGTGGACACATCCATGAATCTCCAGTTGGAACTGGGTATTCGCTGGGGGTCCCAAGCTGCATGAAGTGACAGGACTCACAGCACGATGATACAGGATGTTCCCAGAAAGATCCGAAGCATGCGTCGATTCCCGTCAATGTCTGCAGAGGGCACGTGGAAACATGAGGGTCTGGTGGGTTGATAAGAATAGGTCCGACTGGCACAGAAACTCTTCCTTGAGGTGCCATGGTGGAAAAGCCGGTTCGCAAAGGCACGCCCTTTTCTTCGATAAAAATATGATCTCGCACGGCTACGGCATCGGGTTTGGCTGGAGGCTGAATGTCAAATCATTTTATCATAGTAGATTCATGTAGATTCATAGTACGCATAGATGGGTTTAAGTTTTAGCAGCTTTACCGTGTCACACATGGTGCCCCCAGCCTGCCCAGCTGTGTGACACCGCAGCTGCGAGTGGCATGTATATATGTATATTGGGAGACCCCCAAAGACAAACTTCCTGGTAAAGGAAGAACAGGATACACTTATAGTTTCATACATAATTAAACAAGACTAAACCTATTTGCCTCCTCTAATACTCACCCAAATCCACCTTCAATCCAGCTTGTCTTCGTTGAAGTGCATATTACTCAGCACAGTAGTATATGTGTTCTTCAAACGATTACCATGGCACTCGTAACATCAACAATAATGCTGTAGACCACTTGCACTGGCACTCCTGACACCCGCACCAGTTCCAGTAAGTAATCCAAGTCCAGAATTGTCCATGTCAGTATCCAGTCAGTGGTGCTATCTCAAGTTCAAAACACTCCGATGGCCCATCTGTTACTTCCTCTGCAAACATTTGGCTTCCTCCCAAAAACCTTCAACCCACAAACACCCCAACCTCAACCCCAAACCAACCAACCAACCGGCCGACCAACCAACCGACTGACCAACCAGAATCTGATCGACTTCGACCCCACACCAATGAGTTGGTGCATGCCGCTGAATCATGCCGCTGAATTCCGATAAGGTCTTACTGGTCGCATCGTGTTTGGGTCTCCCTGCAGGTCCCAAACGGTATCTTGCCTCCTTATGGGTTTTAATATATATGTTGCATTCAAACTGATGTGTCTTTTTGTGTTTCAAACCTTGTTAGTTCAATGATGTTCAATGGATCCATACCAGTACGAACCTCCGAGAACTCAACCAAAATCATGATCCGGCCAGGGTGTCTCGGTGAAAACACCGGTCTGTTTTAAAGGAATGCCGGCTGTTCCAATCCGGAACGAAGGAAGGTGATCGTGTCTTGGCCCGAGGCGCCGCTGGAAGGTCTTGGCGATCTTCTGGTACTGCTCCACCTGGTCTCAGACGTTTCACCGGCGGAACACAACGGCCGGAGCTGTGAGAAAGGCGGTTGAGAAGGCTGCTGCATGGAAGCGTCTGCGCCCAAGAAGTGAACAATGGTTTGTCTGTGTTTGTCTCACAAACCAATCCACTTGGTAAGTTGCGATGTGGTGCTGTTGAAACAAACACATGACATGGGCCAACGTATGCATGACTAGGGCCAACGCAAAAAAATGAGTGCGGTTGTCTCAAAAAGAAAAAACAAACATGTGCGGGGGGGTTGGAAGATACACTCCCTGGAATCATTATGGAAGTGGATGGCATGGCCCAGAATAGGTGACAATTCTCACCCAATACAACATGGGTCGTTTTCCTGCTCCACGATGACAATGTCAGGGAGGGTAAATAAATGTATTACGTTGTTTCGCACCATTCTTTGACCCCCGACTGAACATATTCCTCTCAAGGGCATTTGGTTGGCACCAGTTGCCGATCTCCCAATTTAGTTTCCTGCTCGACGACCGCAACAATTGCAGGAGGGATGGACCCTATACCGTGATGATTTTCTCCCTTCTACAGCGTTCGCACATCCCACAGCACATGGACTTGGACCCAAATATCCAAAAGGGTTCTCTCTTCATCCCACTTAATAGACGGAGTCCGACGGAGGCTTAAAAGTGGTTCGCACCGATGTGTTCATGGTGTTCGATAAAAGTTGTTTATTTCTGTGTTTTCACAAGATTCACAAGGACGACGTTAAAAAAAGAACTGTTCCCGGCCTTCGCGCTCACCAGACTTTGCATCTGTTGTTGCGTCACCAGGTAGTGATCACCTCAAGTTTTACGCGGACGCTGTTTTGTCTGTGGAAATCCTCTTCTCGACATGGACTTATATTTAAATAAGTATAATGTATATTATGTATAAATATAGTAATATATTGACTCCTTTCTTGTGGTGTGTCCAATAACCACCACTTCCACGGGTCCTGGTACATGTCTAAATTTATTTGGTTTTGTTATAATTTGATGATGAACTGCGGCCAAACCGCCCCAGCTATGCACATCTCTTCGCAGGGCACGCAGAGTGACACTGTCTGACATTGGTATGTAGGACCCCCCCCAGGCAATACCATCCTGCTTATTCAAGGCCAGCTCCATCGTGATGCTCAGCAAGATGCGCTCAAGTAATATGCTCTTGAGCAGCACGGGTTCTGACTGTCCCCAAATAGCGATGTCCATGCCTACAAGCTAGGGCTGGATCCGCCTGGGTATGTTGGGTACGGACAGCGTGTGTCATGGGGCCATAGGTGCCGGTCGGAGTATACTGAAGGCTCGGATGAGCAGCAGGTCTGACATCCCGTACCCGATCTGGTGCAAGTGCTCAAGGTCCATGTCCTGAGACGAACGCTAAGTCGAGAAGCTGTCGGAAATGCTCGAATTCTGGAAACGCCAACGGTACCATGCACAAAGTCTTGAAACTTCCACTGGGCCTGTTGCTGAAGATGCTGAAGATAGTGCTGCCAATAGAACTGCTGCCAATTTGCATCCATGGTGAGGTTCTTGTCAGCCAAAACATCATTGCAAGCCTCTCAAACGCAACTCTGAGCTCGGCACCTAGCGCCGGAACACGAGGCTTTGGCAGGACGCGGGAGAGGAAACTTTGGAGGACGAGCCTCTGCGTGCTTAGGTCGTTGAAAGCGTCGCTGCCCATCAGTTCTAAGCCGTCTTGGCAGTCTTGCTTCAGACGAGCCGCGCGGTCATTGAAGGCAACATTGTGAGCTCTGCTGTAGTCACTGTAGTCATGGGTGTCCTTGTACTGGTACACACCCCAAGTGGCGGGGTGTGCCACTTGCCACATGCTGGGTCGACTCATCCTCATCGAACTTAATCAACATTCTGTCAAACTCTGACAATTGGCAGTGCAGCCGGAACACATCCTCAACAGCCAGTTCCTCCTCAAATGACACCAGTCTGCGCATGTTTCTATAACTACTAACTACTAACTACTACAAACTACTACTACCACTACTACACCTACCTACTACTACCACTACTACACCTACCTACTACTACTACTACTACTACTACTACTACTACTACTACTACTACT